CAATGTTTCCAAATATGAGAATAATTACGTGGTAACCAAACTGAATTGCCATCGAAGATATACCTGCGTGTGGAATGATCTGAAAAGGTCCAATTTCAAAATCTTGCTACAAATTAATCAAAAAATATGTATGACATAATGACTGAACAGAACCATCACTATACACAATAATTTGATCGAAAAATCAGTATGCATGATATTAATTTCTGAAATAACCATTAAACGGAACTATTAACGGCGATATATACATATATCATCACATAAACAAAGATAGAAAGGACTCAGAATCCTCCATGCAAGCAAGTTTCTCTCTTGTTCCTTCCAATTGCTCCTTCAACAACAACAGTTCATTCAAGTTTTCACATTCTTCAACGTCGATATTTTCCAACCAACTACAGAGACTGTTCTTCAATGGCGTTGATCTCGACCCAGAAGAGCTGCTAGAAACATCACCACAACCAGATGATGGATCTATAGAACTGGAAAAATGCCTGTCAATGGCGGAACTAACGTCGCCGCAACACGAGCACCAGTCATGGATTCGAGTTCTAACACCATTCTTGATGTTTCCTTCATTATTTGCTTGATTTCTATCTTATCAATTTTATCCCTCAAACTTTTGACTATAATTTAAAATTACCCTCAGGTTAAAACTCCGCTAAGAGCAAAAACAAACATATTAGACCAAGAGTCTAAGGGAGGTAAAGTTGCTCAATCTCGAATAGCATGAGAGCAAATTTAACTTCAAAAAACAAGGAGAGCAAATTTAACCCTTTTCTCTAAAGTAATTATAGATAAATTTGTAATAAGCATAAATCAGTTATAACCTGATAAGAATAATAACTAACCTTGCTATTATACTGTCTGTGAAAGAAACTTACAATGCTCCTTTTCTCTTCTCGTCTTCTTCAAGTATGGGTGGTGCTTGAATACTCCAATTTAGAATTATTGAAGGTCTATTTTACATGTATATGTATTTTTATAGAGAGAGATGGAAACAAATGCTGTTTGTGTAAGGATTCCTAAAGCTGTAAAACTTTGGTAGTTTCCTATTAGGAATGTTCTTCTTTCCATATTAGTTTCCTATTGGTTTAACTTTCTTTTTACGGATTAACATGGAAAAGGAAAAGTCAGATTCGCTTTCATCTTTTATGGAGGTAAAATAAGATTTCCTAACAAGTCAAGGTAATTTATAAAAGGTTGTTTCACAAAATAATTCAAGGTATAATAAGCTTTTGCTAGTATTCGGTTTGACTTATGAGTAGGGCTGTTCAAGAAAAATAAAGGAGATTTTTACCTACATATACACTATTGGAAACTTTATTACCTCCCTACTCAAGTTTCAATTTAATTCCTCCTATATACAAAATTACCAATTATGTACATTTTTAGGATTTAAGGATAATTAATCAATTCCTACAATCACTCACACTCCCCCCATGTTTCTCTCTCTGTATCCCCCCTCCCGTATCTTGCACAAGAGAGCAGCAATTCCACCATTGATAGCCATTAAAAAGCTTTGAAGTTTTGAATTCGAATTTGGATTTTCAAAAATCATTATTTGTTTGGATTGGGTGTTGTTGCAAACAATTGGGAATATGGTTTGAAGTTTATATCTCAATTTTGAGGGTGTTTTGGTGAAGTTTAGACCTGATTTTGACTGAATTTCAGATTGAAACTCGAATAAGAAGAAGAAGAAGACATGACATACATTATATTACAGAAATTGTAGTCAAGTTGTAGTAAAATTGTAGAAAAATTGTATTCTGTTATTTATATATATATTTTTATTCAAATATTGTATGAAAGTTGAACAATATTGCATAAAAATTGTATTTAAGCTGTATGATATTGTAGTTGTATATAACTGGGTAGAAATAATGTATGAAAGTTGTAGATAATTTGTAGATAAGTTGTATAATATATAATTAGTTGTATGAAATTTATTTTTACTATGTATCAATTAGATACAAAATATACAAAAGACATATTGTATAAAATTTGTATAAAAATTGTATTTAAGTTGTATGATATTTTAGATGTGTTTAATTGGGAAAAAATAATGTATGAAAGTTGTAGATAAGTTGTAAATAAGCTGTATACTATATAATTAGTTGTATAAAACTTGTTTTTACTATGTAAGTTGTTGTAGATATTCAAATTTGCATTAAATTTGTACGAAATTTATTTTTAATTCGTATGTGAAGTACCATACATTGTTCTTTTCTGATTAGTTGATTTATTAAGGAAAGAAAAGTAGAGAATAAATTCCAAATCAACTCATGTGCACTAATTCATTTTTGTTTGAACGGAAAAACTTGAATATTGATGGAATTGAATGATTTTGGTGGAGAAATTTCGAGTTTCACATTAACAGCGCCACCGTCACACTTCGGAGAAACTGAATTTTATGTGAAATTTGAATTTTGTGTGAGAAATTAACTGGGCAGCATAGATTCTTGTTGGAAATACTAATACAAAGTTGACTTTAAAGTTTGGAGGCGATTGAATTTAATTTGAAATCTGCTAAAACTTCAAATCTGCTCAATTATACTTTTTGATCCAACTGCGATTGGTGTTGTAGTTTGACAATGTTGTTACGAAATTAATAATTTGAATTAGCAATATTTTCTATGAGAAAAGTCAATACTTTAGCCAATACTGTAAACAAATGCACCACCAAAATAAATTTTAGGTAGGTCGATACTCTAAACAACAATATATAATACTATTTTTGGTGGCGATTAAAGTTGTCGCCACATAAGATCTTTTATTTCCTGTAATGATTACTTTAGCTTTGAATTAACTTTCAGAATATCAACTTGTGTTGATGCTATTAGCACCACTGTAATATCAATCAAGCCTTTCTCAAAAATTCAATTGTTTGTTCAATATTATTCTTGGTGGGTTCTATTGCACCTGGACGATTTTGTTGAGATAGAGTGGAGGAAACCAAAGAAAGAGAAAATGGATGAGGATTTGAGAAACTGAGGAAGACGAGGATTTTGAGATTCTAAATCCCTTGATTGAAAGCACAAATAATGGATTGTGAGCCTTTTAAGGTGGATTGTATATATATTGTAAACAGAACTTGTTTATGCGGGGTAATTAACTAAACATGGACATTAAAGGTAATAAAGTTTCAATAATGTATAGGAACGAAAAAAAATCCCAAAATAAAAAATAAAAATGAACGATATCAATAACTAAACCAAATCGATTAAAAGAAACCGACACATTTTGTTATTTGATTTTCAATTTAAAAATCAATAATATTTAAGAAAAAAGTAGAGCCAACCATAAATATTTCCTTTATAAAAATATTTAATTTATTTTAATAATCTTCATATTATTAATTAATGCATCATACTTCATGCATAACTTGCTTCTAAAGCAAATATATAAAATTACTAGATACCCCTGGCTGATGGTGCAAGTAAGGGAAATCCTGGGAAAAGTGCAGCTGGATTTTGCATTAGAAATACTGAGAATTACTTGGTGTTTGTCAAAGCTAAGGAGATCCCTGAAGATTCAAACGTTGTACCTGAGCTAACTGCGATTAAGGAGGCTTTAAGTTATCGTCTTGATCTTAACGAAGATCATGGATGGAATATGGGAGGTCCCTTGGAACATTGCTATTGTGATTGATGATACTCGAGAGATTTCGACAAGATTTCCATGTTCCTATTGATCACAATTTGATGGAGGGCAATGCAGTTGCTGATTGTATTACTAATTTGGCATTTGATAGTGCCTGTGATGTTCTAATTCAATGCTTTGATGAGCTGCCGACGAGAGGAAAGCAAATATTAAACATGGCACCAGTGTTTTAATTTTTAAAAGGCGTGGCCGTAAGTAAGGCAAGGCATTTTACATATACATAGGCAAGGCGTAAGTCCTGAGGTACGGGGCGTAAGCCCAATAGGTATTTTATTTTTAATGTTCTATAAAATGATATAATTACAATAAATATTTGTAAATAGGTAAAATTGTATATAAATTGAAGAAAACTATAAATAAGTGAAATATATATAGTTATGCTCAATCCCCACAACAAACTAGTCAAGACAATTCATTATACGCTGCTTACAAGCACAAGTAACTTCAATTGAAAAGAATAAAATTTTCTACGTGGAGGAACAAAAGTGATGACTAACCTGCAATTTGAACTTTGAATTTGCTGTTGCGGAGTTTTCTTTGTATTTGCAAAAAAAATTAATTAATTATTCGTTGCTTTTGGGAGATAGCAGAAGACTAGTGGACAAGATAAATAATTGGAAAAGACCATAAATTTAAGCTTCTAGCAATAAAATCTTGCCTTATAAATTTAATATTGCCATTCAATACTTATGAATAATTACAAGCTGACTTTTAAGAATTTGAGTACTATATTAAGAACTTGTTCAGCAAATTTTGTTTTAATCTGAAAAAAGACTCTTAGGCTTATGCCACACTATAAGAACTCGCCTCAACGCCCGGGCGTATGCCTCTTGAGACTTTCGCCCCACCATCGCCTCTTGACACTTCCGCTGTGCCTCGCCCCGAAAATGCTTTTTAAAACACTGCCCGGGACAAATCAGGATGTCCAAACCTGCGCATTAGAGTTCTGAGGAGATGGCCAGGTCAAATAATCTTGAATTCAATTTTATTTGAGATTTATTAATAAATTAGCCACTAGGTATACTGCCTAGTGTTATATCAGCTTTAAGAAAAACAAATCATCATTTTTGACTCATGGCGCTTTCTCTAAACAGGTAGAATTCGAAGTGCGACTATTCAAATAGCACTGGAACATTCAATTGACCATTTCATATCCTGCACCACGTTTGATTGTAGTCTTTACATTCCGTTTCTATGTATGCCTATGCCATAGAATCAAAAGGTTAAACTAATCAGTTGTGTTCAGATACAAGGATAAAACTAGTAGTCACGCATTCCAATAACATTTTCTTTAGCTAAATCAAAAAGGGAAAAAGATTAATAAAGCGGATAAACCATGATTTGTATTCACTGATACAATCCAATAAGAAAAAATATCCACAAATTAACCAGTCTGCCTGCACAAAATTCTATCTTATACACAACAGAACACCTCCTAGAGGATGCTAAAGAGATCAAAACATGCATTATACGATCTTACTTGAGGGAAGTAAAGTACCTTTACTGGACTTGCAGATAAAATAAGAACCTGAACGGAAAATAAATTTGAAGTTTTACATATGCCAGGTCGTAGCTAAGCTCCCTCAACCTGCTTGCCTTGGCACTGCACTGACATTTCCATTTTTAATTTTACTGTAAATTGGTAATCTTGTAGACACCATTCAAAATAAAAGAGAAACAAGAAAAAGAAGATAACTAAATTGGTTATCAGGCAACCAGCCAAGACGGACGGCCGCCATACTTTAAAGGGCACTACATAGAAAACAAAGCTCAAGAAAAATCGCGAACTGAAAGCACAAAAGGGATCCAGGAACGAGTTAATGGATGACTAATCACCCTAAATAGTGTAGGGTAACAGCTACTAATAGTATTTTCTTTATCGCCATTTACATTCTCACGATCTGGTGTAGAAAAATAGCGATAACAGTAGCAGTCCCTACAAGAAGGAAATCATTGCAACAGAAGCTTCTCTACACCACAAAATCACCATCAGATTTGGCTACTTAAGCATCACAAGTCACCAACATCAATATCTTTTAATTTTAAGAAACTTCACCACGATTTCATCACATTCCACAGTGACATTTATCAAAACCCACACAGAATTTTGACTTCTCATGTCTACCCATTCTGCCACTATTATGTCGTCTGAGATGCTAAGGGTACATGGCATCTCAAAAGACAATTTTTGCAAATACATCGTATCGGATTCGTTGCAGACAGTGGTTGTGCAACTTCACCAAAGAATGCAAGTAAAAAGAACCAAAAGAACGCATGAGAAGGAAACATCACTGAAGGGCCAAGAAATAAGTGATCATATATGACATCTTCTATCACTATCCATGTGTTCAGATCCAATTTTTGTTTTTCTGTTTTATATTAAGGATATCCGGATCTAATAGTTACCTTTAAATGTGCAATACTTTTCTGTGAAATTCTTCGTCAATGAAAAAGCTATGTAGTGCCCTTCTTCTTTACACCGCCGTCTCTTGCAAACAGAATATAAAGATCAAAACATATGTAGCTAAATATACGATATAATCCAAAATACTCAGGTATCCAAATCAATTGCGAGAATTGTTTAATCGAAATATGTTACATACACGAGTTTCCTTGGAAACAGTTCCTTAATAGATAAACTGACTACGCCACCCAGCCATGCAAGCAGTTACATGATTAGGTTCCAGCGCCCAGTGATACTCAACCTGCAACAAAATCTGAGACATGTACAATAGTCAAAGCATTTTTTCCGCAATCTACTGTCAAAAGTTCCCTGCTAAAAGAACAACACAAGTGATCGTCAAAACAAGCTTTGCATCTTCATTTCAACGCATGGCTCTCTAACCTCAACCACATCGACCCTGAGTATTAGACAAAACACCAACAGTTACTGCATGCTATTCACTTATCTTAGCAAAACAAGCCACCAGTCCCTAACTCCCCCTGCTGCAATTCCTTTCTTCGCTGCTCCTCTAGAGGATCTGGACTCTTCACTACTCTTCGTGTACGCCTAAACGCAGAATAAGGTAGGGATAAGATCACCTTAAGAGATTAACAAACTCTCAAATATTTGATAATAGACAACTTTTTCCTAATCAAGTATGACTGACAATTGAAGTTCGCGGGATTAACACCTGTCTTGCGCGTGCTGTGCAGGGAAGGTAGGCATGAATTCTTTGGACTTGGGAAGAGGAACTTCACGAAACCACTCATGGTTCAACGCAGCTTCAGCAGTTATCCTCTGCAGTTTGTCACCACAAACAATAAGCTTTTGAGCAGGAAAGATTAGCTTATATCAAACTTACAAGTTCACATATGTTTGGTTATCAGTACCTGATCCGGATCATAAGTGAGTAGCTTGTTCAACAGGTCAAAACCAGCATCAGATAGTCCAGGTTCCATGAAGGATGTGGCCGGAAATTCCTTTCTTAACAAGTTATACCTGAAACGAATAATCATGGGTTAACAGAAACATGGGAATATTGCTGTCAAACTGAAATCGTAGCCAAGCCGGACAGCCAGACCAGAATCACTCAAAGCTGGAAGCCTGGGAAAACAGTAGCAAAATAAAGACATGAATCTCCAGTTGTCTATTGTAGGGATAAAATATAGAAGAAAATAATACTTACTTATGCTTTACAAAGTTGACTTTCACCCCAGGGAGTTTGGAAAATCCTGGCCATATCGTCTCATTTGGGGTGCCAAGGATTCTGAAAATCTGGAAAGGGAAAAACCCACAAATACATTAATGATGTTAGAAATTACATCACCGAAGCTGTAAGTAACGCTCCACTAACTACAAAATAATGCAGCCGGAAGAGAGACCTTGTTAAGTTGATCAACTTCTGATTTCCCATTGAAAAGCGGTTCTTTCCTCAGCAATTCAGCCATGATACAACCCAATGACCACATGTCAATCGCAGTGGAATATTGTTTCGCTCCCAAAAGAAGTTCAGGTGCCCTGTAAGAATATTAATTTTTCAATCCTTGTCACTAAAAGATCAGATAGAGAAAGAATTTAACGGAAATCTTTTTTGGCAACATACACAACTCAACAATAATATGTCCATGTACTTAAAACTTTTCGAATAAATTAAAATCAAAACAAGTAAAAGCATTGAACTGAAACTCACCTGTACCACAAAGTAACCACCAATTGAGTATACGTTTTCAGGGGGCTCCCATATTGACGAGCCAATCCAAAGTCACAAATCTTCAACTCGCCTTGGTTATTTAAAAGTAAATTGGAAGTCTTCAGATCTCGGTGAAGCACCCAGTTATCATGAAGATACTTGACACCCTCCAAAAGCTGAAGCATAAGGCATTTGACTTCACTTTGGGTAAATCGTTGTTTCATTGTCTCCATTAACGCCTTCAGGTCATGCTCCATGTATTCCATCACCATGAAAATGTTGTCAAGTTTGTGCCCTACAACTACTTCTTTAACATCTACAATTGCGGGATGGTGGAAAGAGAGGAGAATGTTTATCTCCCTTAGAGATGTCAAAGGAAACCCTTCTCGTTCCTTTTCCATTTTAACCTTCTTTAGAGCAACAATTTCTCCTGTCTTCTTATCTCTAGCTCTGTAAACAACTCCATATGTACCTTCATCTATCTTGTTGAGCCTCTCGTATTCATCCACGCTTCTACACCCCTGAAGCATGTTTATGCTCCTTTGAGGAGCTTCTAGTACACCACAAGAATCATGCCCGTGTTCGTATTCCGTATCTGATTGGCTAACACTATTATCATCATAATTACGGTCCTTATCCACATCCATGGAGTTATTCTTGTCTAAATTATTTTCCTGGTAACTATCTCTACTAGAAGACCTAATATGATTGTCAGATTCTGAGGACCGCGCCCTATTTCTCTTGGGGTTCCCAAGTTCAGGGGTCAGTGATTTCCTACGCCCACCTGTTTCAGTCGACCATGACCCTAGTTTCCTACTCTTTAATCGAGGAATTTTATTGTCGTCAACTGGGAAATCATCAACATCAGTCACCCATCGAGACGCTCTTATATGCACATATTCATCATGTTCAAGTATTTTAGCTTCTTGTTCATTGCTCGATCGCACCTCAACAGGAGGCGTCAAAGATATGTGGTCAGGAAATTCAGAAGCAGCTTCGTTGGAAACAGGTATAGCCTTCACCCTAAGCTGGGACTGCTCTGTATTATTATGAGTCGTAGAATAGTTCTGCACCTTAGCAGCTGCCAGTGAAATTGTACTAATATTTGACATTCTATTCACTTTCTTAGCATCTTTATTATCCCAAATAACGGGTGAAAATTTTCTTATTTTGCTCTGTACAGGTAACTGGTCTCCATTGTCCGAATTGCTGACCTGATCATCAGAAACACTCTCACTGGACGATGATAATTCCCCGGGCTCACGGTCACTTCTACCTGAATTACTCATCATATCTCTTTCGTCTAAATTCATTCGTCTTAACCTAACCCCGCTATCGCCGTTACGAAATCCATCATAATTTCTCTTTGAGTAACCAACTTCCCTCCTTGAAACCTCAAATTCCAAACCCTGGCCCCTAAATTCGTCGTCTCTATATCCACCATGTCTTCCAGCAGCCATATAAATCCCCAATTCTCCTCTAAAGATAAAACCCTAACCCTAAATTCACCCAAACAAGACCAATACACCGAGTCTAATGGAAACAAAACTTATATTCGAGAAAATAAGGGAATTGGAAGCTTACTGATGGTAGAAACGGATGAAAGGCAGCGACGGTGTCTTCTCCGATTCCGAAAGGGCAACCAAGTTCCGGCGGCCGCGTAAAGAGGCTTTTTAGATTAGCTCGTCCTAATTTTTTATACTGTAATTGATATTGCCTCCAGATTTTCTGTCAATTGTTATTTGGTTTTCTGCAATTGAAAGAAATGACCACAATGTTTCTTGTATCCTCGTTTTGCTCCCCTGAATTTACAATAATAGAATATCTCCCCACAAGAAAAAGCTCATGATTCGTTTAAAAAGGGAACACATATATGGTTTTTTTTTTCAATAATAAAAGGAGAGTAGTGTTAAGACGGTTATGCGCGTACAATATTTAAAAAAATTAATCACAAAGTACGTAATTGTTATCTAATTTGTTTGATCTGAGAAAATTAATATTTCTTATCGTATTTTATTGACATATTTAAAATTTAAAAATAATAAACTTATTGTTATAAATAGAATTGTATTTATGGTGAATGTCTATATTTAGAGAGATTCTAGAGTTCATTGCTTGGTGGCTAAGTCACTCTCTCCCTATAAATAGAGGGTTTTATTCCATTGTAATTCATCCCAAAATTTAATAAGAATTCTCTCTCTCTACTTTTCTCTGCAATACTCTTGTTCTTCATTTATTGTTTCATTACACGTTATCAGCACGAAACTCTAACCAATTGAGTAGAAGCTTTGGGATTGAGCATAATGATTGTCAATTGTTCCATAAACTTCCTTCATGATTAAATTCTGAATTTAAGGTATGTATTTTACCGTATTTTTCTTTTTTATTCTATAATTTGATTTTAAATACAAGCAAAGAAAATAAATTTTAATTATAACTCTAATGGAGTTAGTAAGAATTATAACCACTCGAAGTGGTAAAATTTATGTGTCTTGCCATGATCAAAGTCATGTATGATCGTGAGCACAAGAAGTGAAAACCCGTCCCATTGAATTTGCTCCATTCTAATTCCCTTAAGAGAATGTGATAGCAATATGTGATAAGTCTGAGAAGACAAAATTATTACCGTAAAGGTATCAATGGATGTGGACGTGGCAATAGACGAAATTATAATCATCGTCATTGTGATAATAAGAACAATAAGGATTCTCAAAATAATCCTTTACTCTGTGAAAAATATTTGTCATCGATTTGACATGAAAATTTATAAAGCACATATAGATGATTATGGTCCATTCATGATGTGAATGTGACAACATCTGATTTATGAATACATATTCATTCTTCAAAGAATATGAACGTGCTAGTGGTAGTGAATATACCGCACTCACCTCTAAAAGGAGGTTTGAGATGATATAAGAAAATAATGTCATTATTATGGCATGAATGGTCATTGGTCACGTACCTATTGTACGCCAAAATATTTTGGCATTGTGATTGTTAAAAGACAACGGTAATGCAAGAAACAGATCTTGCATATAATTTAAACCATAACCATAATTGTATAACTTTTTCTTTAAAAGAGATATACACCGTATGGGTTTTGATGAATATGTGGTACTACAAAATTAATTGAGAACTCTGCAAGAGCCAATTGTACTATTTTGGAGAAACACAATTAATTACCAATTAGGTATTGTGTTGTAGAAAGTCTCAAAGAAACTTATTCAGTTTCTAAAGTATACGCGAAAGCGGTTAATTATATTGGGACTATAAATAAAGGAAAGATTTAATATCTTCTATTACTACAACTTGTAGCGGGATAATATGTATGTGAAAAGCTACCGGCTTTATTCTCCAATTTGTACTACATAAACAAAAGAATACCACAATGAAGTGGATATTTATTGATATAAAAAGGCGAAATACATAAAGCGCCCCTCCAAGATGTCCACAACGGTCAGTTGAACACCTTAACTCGCCATATGACTAGTCAGACACCTCTACTTGGTAGAAGTATATTCTCTTAAACCCCTTCCGCTGACATGGCAAATTTTGTGTGTTACACCTACATCTAAGCGCGTGAAGATCATGAAAATTAGGTTTATCTTTTTTTTTTTCATAATTCAATATGGACCCCACCACCTCCTCCAGTTTCCTCCATCTTCTGGGTTGCCCCAATTATCTTCTCCATTAGAGAAGGAAGCAATATCACCGGAACTTTTTGGCTGGAAAAGTGAGTACTTAACGGAAAATTTTCTGCAATCTTTCTTCTTTCATATTGTACCCAATTATCTTCTCCATCTTCACCCATCTTCACCCTCCATGACAGGAAAAACACAAAAATTTCCATCACCACCACAATCACCATCCGCCATTAAACAAATCCAAAAACAATTGGACTAACCTGAAAAGCTTGTAATGAATGCGGTAGCTCCAAATTTACACATCCACAACTGACAATCGGAAGGTTAAATATCAGAAGCACCAAATATTGATAGATACAGTAACGCAATATGTGAAAGTGACTCAAACACTTAAAATGGTGTCTGGTACAAGCACAGCCACCATGTTCAATTGCTTCTATTTCCCTTATCGACCCCAAATCCGAAAAACTGAAAAGAACCCATCTAAAACCTTCATCTGGTTTTGTTTATTCTGCTCCTTTTGGCTTTCCTCGATGTGTTTAGGCATGGAGTAGAGGTTTCCGGTGGCAATGTATAAAGAGGAAGCTGCAACTTCCATGGTGTCCGGCGTCCATGGTGTTGGTCTAGGGTTTAGGGTGGTTTAAGGTCTGATTTGGGAAAGTGGGGTCTTTTTCTTATTTTTTTTAATTAAAAATAACAAGTATTTCTTAATATAGAGTATAATTTATTTAAGAAATACACGTGTCATTCAATAATTTGTCAGATTGACATGTCATCCGCGAGTGTAACTCACACATGAAGCTTGTTGAATTCGAGTGTTCACGAGACACACCTGTGTAAAATAGAAGTGTTTGACTGGTCATATGGCAAGTTAAGGTGTTCAACTGACCGTTGTGGACAACTTGGAGGGGTTGTTTATGTATTTCGCCATATAAAAACCCATATCATAATAAACTTGGAGTTTATTCATAATTGCACACATCATGGTGTAAACCTGAAGTTTATCAATATTGATAATTTATCCAGTTGGCATAATTGGTTTAACCATGTTAATTCAAGTATGATGTGCAAAAATAAAAGAGAATTCATATGGGTAAATATTAAAGAACTAGAAAGTTCTTTACGAATTCTCTTACATTGCTTGTTCTCATTAATTAGTAGACCAATTAAAATTGGGATGAATCCCATGAATGCTGGAAATATCAAAGGTGAATATGGGCCCATTCACCTGCCATGTATACCACATAAGATGCATCTATGAGATTGTTACATGTGCAATTATTATTGACCCGCTACCTGGTATTTGCAAGGTAACTTGCTCGATAATTTAATATAGAGCATAATTTCCAGATTTTTTATTCAAGATAGTTCTTCTTGATAAGTTGGTTTACATCACAGTTGGTTTAGCAAAATAATTTATTGAGTGTCTCCACTTAATAGCAAAACTATTGCTTATGAGAACAAAGTTACCTATATCAGTTTGATACAGGTTATATGCGAAAGTATATTACATTCTCCCCTCACAAGTGGTTTCAGGGTCAGGAACCAAATAATCCTATCTCATTATTATTGATGTGCGGTGTATATTTTGATTAATACCATAACGCACAAAGATGGGGTCTCAAAGTTGAGGAAACAAGTTAGTTTTTCTAACATGGGGGGGAGATTTGATAAACAGTTGAGAAAAAGTTACGTGGAATGAATTATCATTTGTACACCTAGTTCCTCGAATAAGATAATGATCTTAAAGTTCATAAAAGGATAATTCATCTGCAATATATTGCAAAGCATGCCAGACGCATTTGCTGACCCAAAGAAAGTAAATATATTCTCAATGCAAAACTTACTTTGTCTGCAATATTGAAACCTTTTATTAGAACACTTCTTGCCTTAAACGGTAAACCTGCACTTCTTCTCCTATAATAATCAAATTCTTCTGCTAGATTACGGTAATAAATTCAATGCTTAGTAAGGGGTTATGGAATGTTAGCATTTTATGGATCTTTAGCTATATTCATCATTTACTTTTTCTAGCCATATACATAGATTATATATTGATCATATACAATTATGCACATATAATGCATAAATTATTCATATATTACACCTCCATCGACTATTTACCTATAATAGCATTTAAGTTTATATCTTATTTGGGTAGGCAAAAATAACGCAAGAAAAGTCATTTTTTTCTAAATTTTTATGTTATAAAAGAATATAAAATATTTAAATTTAAAATCTCAAAGGATATTCATATTTCAAATTGAAATTGAAAGAGCTAATACAGTGAACTTGTAACGACATGACTGGTCGTTTTGCTTTCTAGAACCATGTTCCCCTAAATAAGACTTTCCGTACTTGCTTTTACTGATTATGACTTACGGGGATGGTTGGTTCGAGATTTGGAAGAGTTTGGGTTGAAATCGGAACACTTGGTTCCTTAAGGTAGGCTTTAAAAGGCCAAGTTTGACTTCGGTCAACATTTCGAGTAAGCGACCTCAGAATCGAGATTTGAAGGTTCCAACAGGTTCGTATGATGATTTCGGACTTGGACCTATGTCCGGAACGGGTTTTGGATCACCCGGGAGAGTTTTGGCACCTAATAGCAAAAGTTGATTCCTTAAGAATTTGAAGTTCTTTAAATTTGGTTTGGAGCGGGGTTTTGTGATATTGAGGTCCGAACGGAATTCCAAGACCTGGAATAATTCCATAATGTCATTTAAGACTTGCATGCAAAATTTGGTATCATTCTGAGTAGTATAAGTACGTTTCAGCACATTGAAAGTAGATTGAAGAACTTGAAGTTCATAAGTTTGATTCAATTGGTTTTAGGGTGTGATTCTTAGATTTAGTGTTGTTTCGGGCGTTCCGAGGGTTCAAGCTAGTCTGTTTTATGATTCCAATCTTATCGGTATGTTCGGGCGGGGGCCTCGGGGCCCCGAGCGTCAATCGAACAAGGCCCGAGTCAAGTTAAAAATTTGAGAAGGAGGTGAAGCTGCAGTTGCTGTCATAACCGCACCTGCGGTTGGCCAGCCGCAGGTGCGAGCCCGCAGAAGCGGCTAATCTATCGCAGATGCGGCCCAAGGGGAGGAGCCCAGGTTCCGCAGATGCGGCTCCTCTTCCGCAAAAGCGGTCACCAGACCGCAGATGCGACCCCAGCTGGCCCGGCCCAATTCCG